CACACACAAAATCCGCCAATATTCCAATTGTACCTCGACAGAAAATAAAAAGAACAAACAACAAAACAAAATGCGCGCCTTTCCGCTTCACACAGTTCGTTGGGTTTAATTCACGATCGTTGTTCAAACATGACTGACTGACTAAACAATCGGCAAAATGTATCTGACCACACGAATAGAAGAAGTTTGAAATAAATTGTGTTGGAAAGGAACATCAATATCATACATGTTGGATGGTAATGTTCGATGGGTAACATGTGAACACAGGTTGTAGACAAATCAATTGGAAAAGTACACTGAAAAATATTGAAAAAATATTTATTAAAAAAATAAATAAAAAAGTATTTCTAAAATAAAAGTATATTTTCAAAAATATGTTATCAATATTTCCATTCAATGGAAAAAATATGTTTTTTAAAATAATAAATAATTACAAAAGTTAAAAAAATATAAAAATATATATTTTTTAATATAAAACAATATATCATTTTTTTCAAAAAAATTAAAAAAAATTATTTTTTTAATATGTAAATTTAAGTTTAAGAAAATATAAAAAAATATAAAAAATATAAAATATTTCAAGACGATTTAATTATTTTTTTTAAATACAGCTTTTAGACTCAAAGTAAAAAAATCAAGGCGTGAATTTATTTAAAAAAAGATTTTTTCCAAAGCATACATTTAGATTTAGATTTATTTAAAAAATATTTTTTCAAGGCGTAGATTTATTTAAAAAATATTTTTTTAAGGCGTAGATTTATTTAAAAAATATTTTTTCAAAGCGTAGATTTATTTAAAAAATATTTTTTCAAGGCGTAGATTTATTTAAAAAATATTTTTTCAAGGCGTAGATTTATTTAAAAAATATTTTTTCAAGGCGTAGATTTATTTAAAAAATATTTTTTCAAGGCGTAGATTTATTTAAAAAATATTTTTTCAAGGCGTAGATTTATTTAAAAAATATTTTTTTCAAGGCGTAGAAACTTAACATATGTAATTCTAGACTCAATTCCATGCGCTATACCGAATTGCGTGCAAATCGAGGGATATATTGGGACTTTGATGCACTATTTACATAAAATCGATCGAAAATATATATGAAAGCTATATCTAAATCTGAACCGATTTTCAGGAAACTTAGCACACAACAGTCTGCACCTAATTCAGTACTCTATGCCAAATTTCATGTAAATCGAAGGATATAGAAGGACTTTGGTGCACCATTTACCTTAAATCAGACGAACCCATATATGGGATCTATATCTAAATCTGACCCGATTTTCTCGAAACTTTGCACACATCGTTCTGCACCTAATTCAGTACTCTATGCCAAATTTCATGCAAATCGAAAGATATAGAGGGACTTTGGTGCCCCATTTACCTTAAATCGGAGGAAAATATATATATGGGAGCTATATCTAAATCTGAACCGATTTTTATGAAATTTTACACACATCATTCTAGACCTAATTCATTACGCTGTGCCAAATTTCGTGCAAATCGAAAGATATATAGGGACCCTTTACATTAAAACGGACGAAATTATATATGGGAGCTATATCTAAATCTGAACCGATTTTTCCCAACTTCAATAGGGTTCGTCCTTGGGCCAAATAAGTGACTTGTGCCAAATTTCATCCAAATCGGATCATAAATGCGACCTGTACTTTGTTTACAAATTTAACATCTACAGACGGACGGACGGACATGCATAAATCGACTCAGAAAGTGATTCTATGCATATTCTCAAAAGGAACCATGTGTCTATCTCGTTTCCTTTTGCCTGTTACAAACATATGCACAAAGACATAATACCCTGTACCACAGTGTGGTGAAGGGTATAAATATGTTTTAAGGCTTCGATTCATTTAAAAATTAAATTTTTCAAAGTGCTGATTTATTGGAAAAAAAAATTCAAAGCGCTGATTTATTTAAAAAAAAACAAATTTTCAAAGTGCTGATTTATTTAAAAAAAATTTTCAAAGCGCTGCTTTATTGAAAAAAATAATTTTTCAAAGCGCTGATTTATTTAAAAAAAATAATTTTTCTGTTGATATTTATAGTTGACCTGGCAAATTGTTAATGTTTTTGATGATGTTTCGGCTAAAGGTCAATGAAAAATTTTTGTTTATGTTTTTGTTTTTATTTAGTTTTTTATTCTTCCGATATTTCGATTGTCATCGACAATCATCATCAGGGATAATGTTTTTTTTTTTTTTTTTTTTTTTTTAATTTGTGAAGGAAAAGCGTCTACTTAAATTCAAAGTCACAGTCAAAAAATAATTTTTTCTATTCGTGGATTTATTAAAAAAAATACATTTTCAAGGCCTGAATTTATTAAAAAAATATATTTTTTTCAAGATTTAAAAAAATTAATAGCGACTATAAATTGAATTTGAGTACCATTTAGTACCAAATTTCAAGATTCCAGCTCTATAGGTTCGCCCAAATCCAAATTTTACCAAATTTAGTTCCATTTAGCACATATTATTTCCATAAGAACCTTCCTCAACCATCCTACAAAACATCCTGCATACACCGATCCTACACAATCATTCCAAATTCAAATTTCAGGATTTTAAATCTATTGGTTCACCCACAATTCAAATTCTACTAAATATAGTACACAGTAGTACGAATTTCCAAAACTTCCTACTTAACCCAAACCTACACGCGCACAGTGATCCTTATTCCAAGTTTCATGATTCCAATTCCATCGGTTCACCCACACAGTAGTACGAATTTCTAAAACTTCCAATTTCAGGATTCATCCATCGGTTTACCCACAATGCAAATTGTACCAAATTTAGCACACAGAAGTATGAATATCTAAAACCTCCTTCTTACTACAAACCTACACCCCCATAGTGATCCTAAATTTATGTTTCCGGATTTCAACGCTATCGGTTCAATCAAAATTCAAATTGTGCCAAATTTAGTACAAATACATTATACATACCCCAACCCTACACCCCCATAGTGATCCCAAATCCGAGTTTCAGGATTCCAACTTCATCGGTTCACTCCCAATTCAAATTGTACCTAATTTTGAACACATTAGTACAAATTTCTAAAACTTTTACATATCTCAATCTTACACCTCAACAGTGATCCTGACTCCAAATTTCATGATACTAGCTGTATTGGTTCACCTAAAATTCAAATTGTACCAAATTTAGTACCCATGAATATAAATTGCTTAAACTGAATCCTGACTCCAATCCTACATCCCTACAGTGATCCTGAGTCCAATTTTCATTGTTTCCGCTCAATCGGTCACCTAAATCCAAATTGTACCAGTTATAGTACGATTTAGTACTTTTCGTACACATCAGTAAAAAATTTCCAAAACTACGTACATATCCCTGTCCTACATTCCGACGGTAATGTTAATTTCAAATTTCCGGATTCCAGTTTGATTTGTATCTCCAAATTAAATTTGTACCAAATATTGTACTATATAGTAATTTTCGTACACATGAGTACACGCTATTGGCTTGGATTAATTTTCAATATATTTTTTATGCAGACATTGGCGTCAATTTATTTTTAATATATTTGTTTTCCGTCACTATAGGCGTAAGTTAATTTTAAACATATTGTTCTTAAGTCACCACTTGTAATTTTATTTTTATATTTTTATTTTCAAAAAAAAAAAATATATATATATATATATATATATATATATTTTTAAAAAATCTTGATTTCTCTAGTATTAACTACAAACCCATATATTATTTTTTCTAAGTAAAACACTATTTTTTATTTTTTTTATAATTTTTATTTTATTTTTTTTTTATATTTCAAAAAAATAAAGAACAAAACTTTATTTTTATTTTCTCTCACTATATATAATATATATATCCCATTATTGTTAAACCTATGTAATGAATGATTGATTGAATGTTTCAAAAGAAATCACTTAAATTGTTTTTCTTTTATAAGCTGTGATTCTAAAGTTGGGGGGAGGGGTGGGTTGTACCAGGGGTCCAAAGGAGCGGGAGTGGTAGAGGGAAGGGGCACCAATATTTAAAGCGCTGTATGTGTTGTGTTTTGTTTTTCTATTATTTACTATTGTTGTTGGTTTATATACATTACCAAAATAATATGAAAAAATGTGATTTCCAGTTAAACAGAAATAACCTTAAAAACTGGCCAATAAATTTGTTGTTGTTTTTTTATCATTTCAAATAGAAACACAAATTCCAATTCACATTCAATTTTAATAGATTATATTTAAACTGAAAATCAGTTTATCGCTTTTATTTTCATTAGATAATCAAACGAAAAAAAATATTGAAAAAAAATCATTAACAATCAAATTGTTTTTTGGAATAGCAGAGCAGCAAAAACAAAATAATGTAAATGTCTTAAACCTCAGTACACACAAAGAAGAGAGGGGAAATAAAACATATTTCTTCAAGTTGCAAAAAAAAGAAAATGACCTTTCAAGTTATAAGCTAAACGCACGCACACACACAAATAAACAAATGTCACAGAATTATACGCAATACTTAAATTATATAAATTAAAGAATTAATAATTAATGCCAAACCAACAAAGCAAAAAAATCAATTTTGAACCTTGATGTGGATGGTGATAAAGCAAATAGGGAAATAACTGAATTGAATAATAATTATAGGTTTAATTAATATGTGGTCTTATTTTTGTTTTGTTTATATGGAAATTTGAAAATAAATTCTTTGAAAGAGTTACAGTTAACCTCAAAAAAAAAAAATCCAAAATCTATTATTATCTGTTTTATGTGTAATTGTGTTTACCGTCTTTGTTGTTGTTTTTTTTTTTGTTCATTTATATATTATGTTGGTATATATTTATAGAATTTTAATTATATTTTTATATATATATAAAATAATTAAGAGGAAAGGAAGAAGAAGAAAAAAAAACATTCACATACACAAACAAAGTTGGTTTCTTATTTTTGTTTTTTGTTAGGAAAGTTGTAGTAGTAGTTAGGGGGTGGGGGTGTGTTGTTAGGTTGGCTTAGTTTTGTTAACTTAAGGACAATTGATTTAAGGATAACAGTCGTTCAACAGCTGCATTGATGTCTCCAAAGGTGGCAATTAATGCTGCAAAACAAAAAACAAGAGAGAATTAATTTTTAAAATTTAAATTGTTTATTTTATATTTTACCTTGCAAATTAGCTTCACGATTAACAAAACCCATTGCCGTCAATTGTTCCAACTGCGATTGATAACGCACCTCTGGTGGCTGGCTATTATCCGCTGTGGTGGTCATACCATTCAACATCCTTGTCATAAAATCATTAAACAATTGAGCGTTTGGACCACCACCCGGTGCTGTGGCTGGTCGACTATCTGTTGCCGCTGTACTGTTCGTACTGGTATTTGTGGTATTCGTATCGGTATTTGTATTGCCGGGTGGTGGTGGTGGCACACCCAAAGAACCCATTAGGCCGGGAGCAGCAGACCGCAACGATTCCATACCTTGCTGGATTTGCATAATGGCATTTATGGCCTCGGGGTTGGAAAGTAAATTCATTACTTCGGGATTTTGCATTTGTGCCATAAATTGTGGCATCATTTGACGTATTTGTTCCTGCAGTTGGGGATTGTTGGCCAACATTGGACTGGTGCTAAGGAGACGTGCAGCCATATCGGGATCTTGATTCATTGCCTCGAACATTGATCGGGTATAGGGGGCGTTGAGGAGATTTTGCATTAGCGATGGATTTTCGGACATTTGTTGCATTAAACTTTGCATAGCTGGGGTGTTGAGTATGCCGCGTGGTGGCAAATCGGGATTGTTGGCGGCACCGGTGCCGGTACCGGTGGTGTTGCCACGTCCACCCCAAGGATTTGGGAGGGGTTCACGATTTTCCGTGCCCATTTGGGGATTGTTGCCTGCAAAAAAATTGAGGAAATATTAGTACATACAGATCAGTAAAAGAAAAATATCGAACTTCCGATTTAAAACCCTGCACCATTTAATTAATGCAGAGAGTGATATTAGAACTCAAAAATGACAGATTCTGGACTCAATTTGATAGTCTATTGTCCTTAAATCCACTGAATATAAAATGGGAGCTATATCTAAATCTGCACCAGAGTTATAATCAAATCTGAACCTGTTCAAAATTTTATGTCGGCAAAAAATATATAAAGAAAAAAAATTAAAAATTAATCCGATTTCAATGGAACTTAACACACGTCATCATAGACTCAATGCTATCGTCTGTACAACATTTGGTGAACATTTTACCATAAATCAGACAAACATTTGTATGGGACCTATAAGAAAATCTGAACAGAATCGAACCAAATTTGATACACTATTTATTATACTCCACTTGGCCCCTTGTGTAAGAATTCATGCCGATCGAACCGCCCTTTCTTCTTCGGTGCCTACTTTTCCTGAAATCGGTCGAAAATATATAGGGGAGCTATATCGAAATCTGAATCGATTTAAATGAAACTTGGCACACATGATGCTAGATTCATTTAAACCACCTATACCAAATTTCACATCAATCGCATAGACGTTGAGACTTTTGTTTAAAACTCGGTTGAAAATATATAGGGGAGCTATATCGAAATCTGAACCGATTTATTTAAAATTTGGTACACATGGTATCGGAGTCAATGCGATTATCTGTACCAAATTTCAGGTTGATCGTACAGACAGTGTGGCTTTAATGCCATACGATTTAGTAAAAACCGGATAAAAATAGAATGGAAGCTATATCGAAATCTGAACCGATTTAAACCAAACTTGACACACATGATACTAGACTCAATACAACCTTCTGTGCTAAATTTCAGGTTGATCGAACAGACATGACATTTTCAATACACCTGTTTGAAGAAATCGATTGAAAATATATGTGGGAACTATATCGAAATCTGAACCGATTTATACAAAACTTGGCACATATTATACTAGGCACATTTCAACCACCTATACCAAATTTAACTTCAATCGCATAGACGTTCCGTCTTTGTAACTGAAATCGGTTGAAAATATATATGGGAGCTTAATCGAAATCTTAACCGATTTCATTCAAATTTGAGACTCATGATTCTAGACCCAATTCGGTCATCTCTACCAAATTTCAGGTTGATCGCACAGACATTGTGTCTTCAGTGACCCTTATAGGTAAAATCGGGTAAAAATATATATGGCAGCTATATCTAGGTCTGAAGCGATTTATACCAAACTTGACACACATGATACTAAACTCAATACAACCTTCTGTGCTAAATTTCAGGTTGATCGAACAAACATTGTGTCTTTTATGCATCAGTTAGACAAAATCGCCTTAAAATGTATATGGGAGCTATATCGAATTCCGAACCGATTTATACCAAACTTGACACACATGATGTTTTCCTATGTTGGGTCGGAAATTTGTCTGCTGTTATTTTTCTATTTAAAGCTATTTCTGCTAATTTCCTTCCATAAAACAGCCCTAGTGCGACATAATTTTACAGATCTTGTCTTTTGAATGATGTCGTAAATTTTGAATCGTATCCTATTGCACTTTTTTGATCTTGTAATTCTTTAACAGACATGAATCTAGTCTCAATTCAGTCATATGTTTTAAATTTTAAATCCTAATTTTATGTCATTCGGACCCTATTTCCTTCTATAATACTTCGGCTCTAGTGGGACGTATTTTTACAGGGTGGCTTTTTGAATGAGGTCGTAAATGTTTCTAAAATCTAATAAACTACGTTAGGGCGGCAATTTTTCAATCCCTCCATAATACTTCGGCCAGATTGCGACATAATTTTACAGAGCTTGGCTTTTAAATGAGGTCGTAAATTTTGAAACATATTCTATCGTGCTTGTTTGATCTTGCAATTCTTGAACACACATGAATCTAGACGTAATTTTGTCGTCTGTTTTAAATTTTATATCATTCGGAGCATATTTACTTCCTTCCATATTATTTCGGCCCTAGAGGGACTTAATTTTACCGAGGTTGGTTATTGAATGAGATCGTAAATATTTCTAGCAATCTATTATACTATGTAAGGCCGGGAATTTTTCAATCCCTCCATAATACTTCGGCCCTAAAGAATTGCTGCGACTCTAGTGGGACCTAGTTTTTATCAATTGATAGTTTTCGAAGACGTTAGCCTGCATTTAAAATTGCCAAGGAGACTTAACATGTTGTCGTATACAAAAAAAAAAACTATTCTGCCGATTTTTCCTTCCATAATACTTCGGCCCTAGTGGGACATAATTTTACAGAGGTTGAATTTTGAATGAGTTGGTAAAAATTTGAAACCTATCCTAGCGGGCTTTTTTGATATTTGTCTTAAAATTTAAAGAAAAAAATAAATAAATTAATAAAATGTAAAAAAAAGTATCCAAAAAACTACTCACCACCTCCATTATCAACCAAACCGGCAAATGGATTGCGTGACAGCGATTCCGTTGCAGCATTCATCATTGGCTCTTGAATGTCACGATAGATACGTTGCAAAGCATTATAGCCCCCTGGGACCGATTCCAAATTCGACAAAGCACGATCATGCGAACGCATCAGTTCCTGCAACATTGATGGATTGCGAGCCAACTCCATAGTCTGGCGCAATAATTCAGGATTATTCAACATATGTGATATCTCCGGATTGCGTTGCATTAAATCTTGCATTTGTGGATTAGAGGTGATTAGCTGACGCATAACATCGGGATTATTCATCATTTGTTGAACCATGGGATTGTCCAACATGGTACGCAACAAATCACCGTTATTCATTAATTCACTTTGCATGCGGGCTTGCAAATCCATGAAAGTACCCGAACCGGCGCCCAATGCTTCCATGCCGGAAAGGCCACCCAAAGTGTTGAGGCCAAATGGTGTTTGACGAACATCAGCCGGTGGACGTTGGGTGGTTTCATTATTACGTGTCTTTGCCTTGATGACCAAGTGTACGGTTAGACCATCCTTGATGTTGTGCGTTTGCAGGGTATCAGTGTCCTTCATAATTTTACCGGCAAAAATTAAAACCAGCTGTTCCGGTTCAGCTTCAAATTTTTCAGCCACCAAGGCCTTGAACTGTAAGAAGATGGGGAAAAACAAAATTAATAAAAACAATAAAAAAATTAAATGAGAAAAAAATAGCAACAACATGTTTAGATAAACAAATTAACAACAAAAGCATGTGCTACTTGTTTTGATATTATTATGCTGATGGTGGTGGTGGTTGATGCTTTGAGTTCCGTAAGGTCATCTAGCAGATTTATTCTGGCATTGACATTTTGCAAGAACACGTCATGACACTGTTTGATCATGCTTGCACATTGCTTTCTGGGTCATTGTATTTAAAACAAAATAAAACACAATTCATTTTTTTTATTTCCTTTCCCTCTCTCTCTCTTCGCTTTCCGCATTTCCATTAAATTCAGGTGATGGGATGATTTGTTTTCCCGTCATAGGCTATAGTGAATGCACCACTCACTGTACTTTGACACACATGATATGTTTACCGCCACAGTTTATTATTTTTTTTTTCTCACTTGAATTCCACCCTCCCCCTAACCTTACCCTCCCTCCCCCATCCCACACTTTACCTAATCACACACTCTGAGAGCCATTCACAGTCATAATCTACCATCATTTAATTCATTACAAAATGCCATACGTCGGCAGAGCAAACCCGCCGCCTCTATCCGCTGCCGACATCCCAATACCCAATGAATGTTATGACCCTTTTTCGGTCTCTCAAATTGCTCAAAATCAAATCCAAATTTCATCATTTGTATTACAGCATTCCATCCACACTTACATCCTTAATTCCAGAATCTTCATCCACTTCGATCATTTTCTTTTCTTTTGGTGTTTTTACATTAACAATAATTCTTCTGTTTCCACCTTCAGCCATTTTGCTTTGCTCTTTCTTGTCGTTTTTTGCTGAGTAACTTTTTTCTTGCAGTTGGGGGAAATTCACTTTCTCGTGTTATGTTTTTGCGTTTAACTTCACTCTTTTTTGCTTTTTAATTCGCAATGAGTTGAAAATCGTAATTCGATTTGTAATTTCACAAAATATGTTGTAATTTTTAATGTGAATTTGGGTATTTTTTTCTTTTAATAGAATAAAAATAATTCGTCACTTTTTTCACCAGTAGTTAGCCGTAGTGAGCGATAATGCCATATCGTTTATTGTGTGAGTGGTGGGTGAGATGCCATATGCATTAATTAATGGCAATCACTGTAAATTGATAGCAGGCTTAAATTGATAACATGACTTGCCTATAACAACTACCAATTATCGCATAACCGCAGGAATGCAAGAAAAACCAGCAGGAAAGGATCAAAATCTGATGGTGCCGACCATGGTCTATTAATAAGGTAATCCTGGGAGGCCAGCCTTAAAGTTTGCTATCAAAATCCATTATGGTGAATGGACTTACATTATGAAAACGTAAACAAAGTCCAAATTTTTGACATTAGACTTGAGAAAAAACAGCGGTTTTCGTTAGCTGGGTGACCTTATTAATAGATCTTGGGACATTTGGAAATTCACAGGAAGTGATCTGGGACTTAAATTAAAACCCACAATCTATTACGAATTCATGCTATATCCATAGTGATTTGAATTTAAGTCGGAACCAATTCAAAATCAATCATTCTAGACCGGACCTACATATATATCGAATCTATATCTTAAAATGAGACGATTGGAAACGAATTTGGCACCTGCAATTCAAGACTTATTTCGATCTCCTACGAAAAATGTTGTTGTATATCAAAATTTGGTCATTCCGTTCGCAACACCTCGAAATATTCATATGTGACCCCATAAATATCAGATCGGAAAAATCTATGTCGATTTAGCCATTTCCGACCATAAAATAATGCTTTGAAATTTGAAATATGGGTACCAAAAATTATCAATATTGGTCCATGTTTTCAGGTAGCCACTATATATTTTGGTATTTTAGGGGGCTTGGGCACGATTTTCAAACTAAAAAGCTGTAAATTGATATTTTTGTTTCTCACTGGGTAAAAAATATTGCTACTTAAAAATTTACTGATATTGATCCACTTTTTAGGGTACCCACAATATTCGATATTTTGTGGAAAATTGTCTGCAAAGGTCCTCGTCTCAGTGATTATGGTTGATGTTGCAAATCTAAAAAGATGGGACCGCACCGAGTCTCTACGGTAATGCTTAAACAACAGGATGAGCAGGAAGTAGAGTATATGACTTCTGGAAGCCTGGGTAATAGTCCGGTTAGTAAATCCAGCAAAGGTGAACAGTACAGTCCGGACTTCTGAGGCATTACTTCAGTGTTGGTAGCGCTGGCATCTTCTAGTGTGACTATGACATCAATTGCCCCTCCGGGAAAATGGTGTCTGAGATGTCTGATTAATCAGGACCTTCAAAGGAGTGGCTAAATGTTGAAAAAATTCTCCACAACATCCTCCATTGTGAAAGAGGGTATGGTAGTGTCGAAGTCGGCTAGAATGTGGGCCAATAGGAGGATATCTGGAAAGGCGGTCAGTACGCAACCCTCTACTGAGTAACAACCCAACCCTCCGAATCCGCCTGCTAGTGTGTTTTCTAAGTCCAGAACCAATATTATAACAATAGAGATCAATTATATATTTGGACGCCAGTCATATTGTAGTTTCAGGGTAAAACAGGACAACTCCTTGAAGTAAAACAGGGAAATCCTCAGGTTGGGTGATATATTCAGAGCTGTTTTACTTCCCTCAATCAAATTCAACACTCCGGAATGCCTCAGCTGTTGTGTTGTATAAACCCAGAACAGGGGTTATAACAATAGAGATCAGTTATATGTTTGGGCGCCGGTGCGAAACAGGGAAACCCATTGGACTGAAACAGGAAGTTTCCAGGACGGGGTGATATCTTTGGAGCAAAACTCAAACCACCTGAATCCGTCTGCTGTTGTGTTGTCTAGAGCCAGAAACGGTATTACAACAATAGAGATCAATTATATGTTTGGGCGCCAGTGTATGTATAGTTCCGGAGTAAAACAGGGCAACTCCTTGTAGTGTAATAGGAAGTTCCCCAGGTTGGGGAGATATCTTCGGAGCAAAACTCAAACTACCAAAATCCGTTTGCTTTTATGTGGTTTGAACCCTGAACTGGTATTATAACAATAAAGATTAATTATATGTTTGGGAGCCAGTCGTATGTGTAGTTCCGGAGTAAGACATGGCAACCCCCTGAAGCGTAACAGGAAGTTCCGAAGGATGGGGTGATATCTTCGGAGCTGAATCAGGAAGTTCTCCAGGATTTGGTGATATCTCCGGAGCTGTTCAACTTCCCTCTCTCAAAGCCAACACAGAGTAAATCAGGATGTTCTACAGGTTCAACTTATATCTTCGGTATTGAACACCCTCCAGAAGACATAGGGATCGTTACGTTCGTGAACATTTGTACGATCAGCAGGTCGCAGGTCCGGTCATTAAAGGTTGAGCATCTATCTCGTCGATTTGAAAGCGTTTTTCCGCGCGACAATTTTAAAGATATTCGTCACCTGGACTGCGACAATAAAAGTGTATCTGTATGTGCTACACCAAAATTCTCGGGGCCCTATTCGACTGTGAAAGACACAGCTATCTGCAATATGAAAAAGAGGTTCTTACAGAGAGGTTCACACAGACGGTTAATCTGTCAGAACGACGCACTGAGAACTACAACGGGACACCCCATATACCCAGCCATGAAAAGAAGGATCTGCATGATATATAGATAAAAAGGAGCAAATATATATAAGAGAGCCTAATGCTGTCCTAAAAACAGATAAATTTTCAATTTAGTCCGATGATTACCATTTTCAAGCTGATAATTTAGAATTGCTTTAATTTTGAATATTGTTATGAAAATCTGGTTTTGTTTCCTTTCCACGTACATTAGGGTCCGATTTTTTCGAACTGCAACATTATCCTCAGTGTCAAAATGTATCTCGAGCAGGTCTGAAAAGCATATACACTGATGCAGTTGCTAATGCATTTAATAAATACATACCGAAAAATGAACAAAATGTCAAAAACCAGGAGTCAGATTCAGCCTTAGTTGCCTTAGGTGGGTTTTGACCCCCCCAATTGCAGAGAACAGACAGAGATCATCGTCTAAACGCACCTTTTATTATTTACTCGTGTAATCGAAGAGTGTTATCGATTATTCATTGACGGTGAGTAATCATTTCATTGTGTATAACACAACGAGTAATCATTTCACAGTGAATAGCATTCATCAGCTGTTATGTACTTCTTCCCTGCCCTCTTGGAAAATAGGGAACGTAAATAATCGGTAATTATCCATCACACTCATACGTAAACAATAGTCCATTTTCGTGATTTTGTTTTGAGTTTATTCTTTATCAGTCATTCACTGATATCTCCCTTTATTCATAGCATGTGAAACGTTTGTGTTTGATCAGTTCTGCTTGGATTGGATGAGTATTGCAGAAGGATTGTAAATTAAGGGGTTTTTAAGGTGAAAAATTACACAAAATTAAGTTCGAAATTTCGTATCGGTGTTGCCGATAGTGAATTCGTAAGATACGTGTCATTATTAAGTGAAAAACGGGTAAAATTGAATCGGGTGAAGAAAGCACGTGTTTACTTCCGTTGTTATTGTTTGTTGTTGCACTGAGCAGCCCCGATTTCCCCCAATGGAGTCTTCACGGTTTTTTGTGGCCAATTTGCCAACCAATACCAAGGAAAAGGATTTGCGTAATCTCTTTCAAGACTATGGCGAGATTAAAAATATTGAATTAAAAACCAAAGAGAATCTTGTGGATCCCAGCGATGTGAAAGTGATTGCCTTTGTGACACTGAATATTGGGGCCGATGATGCCCAGTATTGTAAGTTTGGAATACAATATGAGTTAAATGTGGATTTTTTTAATAAAATTTCTTTTTTTTCAGGTCTCAAGGATCTCAATTGGCAAAAAATCTATGGCCAACAGATAAAAGTATCCCTGGCCAAGGAATCCTTCTTGGAACGTTTGAAGCGGGAACGTGAAGAAGCCAAAGCGGCTAGTGATGGTAATCAGTTAATGACACCCAAACCGGTTGAGGAACAATCAGAACTTTTGAGTGCCCCCAAATCGAATAAACGTAAAATCTTTGATGTGGATGCGGATTTGGATGATGATGACGATATTCCAGCCGATTTATTGATAACCAAGAAAAGAGCATCGAATTCCTTGTATAATGGTAAAATTGTTATACAACAAAGTGAAGATGTCCAGCCAATACATGTTATTGAGGCCAAGAAGTCCAAGACTAAAGTGGTCAATACCCAACTGGATGATAAGTCCATGAGTGCCGATCAAAAGCGAAAGGAATCATTGAATAAAATGAAAAATCAATATCAGCAACAGAAGACGGCTATACAACAGGCCCTGCAGGGAATGGTAGGTGTCATTTTCTTAAAAATAAAAATTAATTCTAAGTGAATCCCTTTTTCTCCCTAGGATGCCAGTCAAAAATCCAAAAAGATTAAATTCAGTGATGCCGAAAGTGAGACGGAGGAAGTGAAACAACCAGTGGAGGTTTCCAAGAAATCCAAAACCAACATCTTTGGTTCCGATGATGATGAAGAAGATGAAACCAATATTGAATTCAAAACCCTGCCCACGGGGAAAAAGGGTGAAAAACTACTCAAAATGCAGGCCCATCAAAGTTTGGATCCACGTTTTCGTATTGATGCCAAATTTGTGGAAGACGAAGATGATGAAGAGGAAGGTGAAGAGAATTTGAATGAAAAACAATCTGCCCATAAAGATGAGGACAACGAAAGAGATTGGCAAATGAACATTTTGGAACTAGTGGTGGGCACAAAATTGGACTCAGGCAAGAAATCCGAAAAGGATCACAAAAACAAGAAAATGTTACGTTATGATCCCTCCAAGGATGAACATCAGAAATTTGAACGTTCCAAAGAGGAACAGCAGACCAAGAAACAGAAACAAACAAAAAC